TTATGTTTTTTTGAACTTCAATCAGTTATGTCGAGGAATGCACATAAGCATAAAGAAGACGAACGTAATACGATAACACGCTTGCCATCAACAATTTGAAAATCTGTATAAAAATACGTCAAATGTGGATTATCGTATTCGAGCAAATCTTTATTAATTTCACAGTTCCAAGCATTATTGACAATTTTCTGATGCTTACGGGGTTCGTACCGGCCCTTCCTTAAAATATAGGAAAATATAGGATTTGAAAAAAGAATTTATATAGGACTTCTCTAATAATACAGGACAAATATAGGACGTCTCTTTTCACTAAACCAACACCGTTTAGTATGGGCAAAAACACCAGAGTACCATTGAGGCCATCAAAGGCTATCTTTGTGCAAGTCATCGACTGAGTTGAATATGAATACGTGTTCAAATCGATGAAAATGTCGATACAATGAAGTTTATTTCGCAAAAAAACGCACAAAGGAAAAAGATGGTTAATTTCTGTTTTGTTGTGAATATGCGAAATGTATCATCCGCGTATCGAAGCCATAGTAATGGTTTATTGGTAGAAAATCTGTTTAACTTAGTTTCGAGTTTTGACATAAATAGGTCCGCAAGTATTGGTGCATGTGGTGAACCCATTGTTACTCCATCAGATTACACGTAATATTTACTCATAAATCTAAATAGTACATCACAAACGGCTAATTCTAGTAGTCTTTTCATTTGTTGTCGACTGAAGGTATATATCAGCTATTTGAGAAAACAATTATGATAAAGGAGCTAATCTTTGGGTATGTTAGAAGTATTGCAACAGCAGCTAGGAAATATACACAGCTAATTTTTGGCTGGATAAAAGAAAAGAATCAAATAAATTTACTTTTGCAGAACAAACTGGAAAAGTAAACCCATTAACTAATTGATTTCCCAGAACTGGTAGGCATAATTGTGTAAACCTCAGCGAGAAACCATCAGCTCCAACGCTAGCGGTATTGTTCATAGTCCCTACAGCTTTTACCATCTCGGTTACACTCTAAAAAAAAAGCGTCGTATACAAAATCTAAAATGGTTTAGAAAAGTGTCCCAATCAGCTACCCCTTATGGTTTGGTAAAATGCCGCAAAGAGGGGTATCGTAGATGCCAAAAACCCCCAACTAAAACCTTTTTATGATGGGTAATAAACGCTTAGAAATTAGTTAGTTTAGGAGAGAGTTTCTGACATCTGCGATACCTTTTTGGGTAGCTGATTGGGACACTTTTCTAAACCCTTAGGAAAGGGTTTAGGAGAGGGTTTTTGACATCTCCAAATGGTCTCTCTCTAATATTGTTGACGTCAATTTTGTGAAAAACTCGAGTATCTGATACGCTGTTGTTGGAGTCTCAAATCTTTCCCCCACGGTGGCGTAAGAACATTCATACTTAGCCTCTTAAACAGGATTGAACTCAAGGCAAACCTATACTTTTGTTGCACATATATGTGCAACCAAAGCAAAGTAAGTGCAAAGGAAAGTGCATATAGGCACTTTTCTTTGCTCTCTCAATCAATTTCCTTAACTACTTAGGCGCAGGAAAAAAAATTGGGAGTATATAAAGACGTTCTAGTATTAATTTATTTACTGATTCTGCACAGTATGTTTTATATACAAATTATACTTTGTAAAATGCGAAAGCTACTTTATGAAAGTCCATGACACCCGTTTTAGAACGTAGGATAAATAAAAATAATAAAGTCATATACGTTCTATGCTAGAATGTACTGCTATTCATAAATGCCACATGTGGCATTTATGACTCAATCCTATACTGCAGTATAGGATTGAGTCCACAAGAAGGATTAAGCCAATACTATTCATATAGTACATTTATTCAGCCTAGAGTTTATTTCGTTCATTGTCAGCTTCCTTTCAAGGATTTTAAGAGAAAAAAAATACTGTATGTGTATGCTAAGACAATATTAACCAAATCTGACAAAAAAGAGGTTGGAAAAAGGATATGAAACATAGTTAAGTAAAAACAAGAATCTAGAATAACCTCTTCCTGTCATATATACAGTTGCATCATTCTCAGTTTTTTAATCGTAGTTTTCTTTTCGTAATAAAGAGTGCTTGTGAATGACTTCTATTTTTCTATCAGAAATTATAGAAGTCAGACAAGCTTGTGCACTAAGTCAGAAGTTTTAAGCAACAGATAATATTGAGCTCGTTCCACTGACTAACACTCCAAAACTTGACTAAATTCGTAACTCAGAGCCTTTTTACGATTAAAATATGTATGGAAAAACCTTATTCAAGGGTTTCGGATGATTCGGAAGAATGAAAAACCAATATACTTGTTGACGAAATTGTAAGAAACCCTTGAATGCTAAACCCCTGAGGTTAGTAAACTCAAAAACCCTACAAGGTTGGATGAAAAACTGCACGGGTTTAGTAAAACACTCTATTGAGTTTTTGAGACAAAGAAAAACCTCAAGGGCTTTTTACCTGGTTCGCGAAATCTTTCAGTCTTCAGAAAAAACCCTAATTATTTTGCTAAACCGTAGTTTAAAAAATCCTAAGGTTCAGTAAGACAAATAAACCCTTCAAACGACCTTTTAGGCTTTTAAGAACGACTCAAATACTCTTACGGGTTTAGTAACATTTCCTAAACGCATTAGGAAACCCTTTGAGTTTTGTGCACGACGCTTTTTTTTTACAGCGTAGGTCAACGAGTATATCAGAAATTAACGGCCCCACTAAGTTGGGTGCTGTTCCAGAGATAGGGAAAGTATTTTGAAATGGGTTTACTTTTGCAGTTTGTTCTGCAAAAGTAAATTTATTTGATCCGTTTCTTCTTTAGCCAAAGATTAGTTGTGTATATTTTCTAGCTGCTGTTACAGTACTTCTATCAGCTATTTTCTTTGATTTATATAACATATCTAGTGCAATCTCAATAGATTCTTTTACTGGCACGTTGTTCCTACTGGCAAAACTGTTCTTTTAATTTCTTTGTCTTATACTCACATTTACAGACTATATAATTAGTTATCTTCTCTTCCTATGTTCATTTTCCTGGTGATGATGTGTGAAGGATTTAGTTAAAATCTTATCATGTACAGGGTGTTGCATAACCTTTTTCCAGGGGGGTAACGACGTGATTTTAAAGTAGGTACCTAATGAATTTTGTACCAAATGAAAGCCCGCAAAAAGCTGGATCTAGGACTATAGTTAACAATTCAACAGAGTGCAGATAGTCAATCCAAATTTTAGACGTATAAGTATGCACTATTTTTTTTCTTAGTTAATGTGGGTTATCAAAGATAATGGTGCATCATGGGATGGAACTTATTATCGACACCGTATTTTGACAGAAGAAGTAATTCCATTCCTTTCGAACCCCGAAAATGTATTAGATCCAGCAGAAGTCGTTTATCTTCATGACAACGCTCCGTGCCACACAGCAAATGCCACTTAGCAATTGCTCAAAAACTCTGGAATCGATTTCTTTGACCGAACAGAATGGCCAGGCGGTTCTCCAGACCTGAATGTGGCGGAAAATGTTGGATCAATTCTAATGGACAAAGTAGAAAGTCTGATGATCAGCGAACGCGGTCCGACAAATTCTTCAGTCGTTTTGCTTGAACACCTTCAAAATGTTCTTCATGAACTTGAAAATGAAAAAGAACTTTTCGAAAGTCTATTGAAATCGTATCCTCAGCGATTAAAAGCTGTACGTGAAGCCAACGGCGGTCACACTAGATATTGATGTATCATTTCTATTCAAATCAAATAAAAGGTTCGCTTGATATATCATTTGTAACTGAACCACATTCACCTGATACTTGATTTTCTTCGCAAGAAAGTAACCACAGCTCTTTCACAGACGGGCTTTCATTTGGTACAAAATTCATTAGGTATCTACTTTAAAATCACGTCGTTAACCCCTTGGAAAAAGGTTATGCAACACCCTGTACTTTGTAGCAGTTTTATACTCATTCTCTTCAAAAAATAACCCTTTAGGAATACAAATACAACAGTTAAGAAATAATATGTACAATGAATTACGTGTTCTTTGAGGAAACGAGTGGAAATGTGTGTAGGAAAGCGCATGTGTCTTTTCACAATCAAATACAACTCATTTCAGCATAACCCCCACTTTCCCCCCCAAATATAGAAAATTTAGGACAATATAGGACCACTTTCATAAATATAGGAAATATAGGACGATTACGAACCCAGAATGCTTAGTACCATTAGTATCGAAATATTTAAGTCGAAACAAATCTCGAATAGTGGTATTGTTTATTAAGAAATAAAATGCTTGTTTATCTTGGTTCACGGTGATTATTGCCACTAAGAAACCCAAATACAATTGTTCAGAATTCATTTGTTTGAACATGACGCAGTAACCATCAGTTGTTTTTCTGTGGATCAAGTGTATTTCATAATATAGATGACAGAATCATAATAATCGACATAGTTTAAATTTGGAATTGCAGAGAAAAATTTATTATATTGTTCATAGGATTTGACGGCTCTTGTCGAACGAAAATGGCTAGTGCTTTTTTTCTCCAAGCAATTCATTCCAAAAATTGGCTATGATATTAGGATATAATGAAGATTCGTAACGAATCAGAGCGCACGAAATGGCTCTAAATGTAAAATTAATTGTTTATTATGGTCAATCGTCTAATGATTTAAGAATACGATTGACATTTTCAAAAAGGAATGTTGAATACAAGTAAAATGGCCTAGCATTTTTAATGACAAATGCGCATGTTGCATCGGATGTACGCTGCTGCTGCAACGTCTGATTGTGTATAATAATTTATATTAACGGACGGAATAATTCAAAAATACATAAACTATTTGACCATCGACTGTTGTGCTTTCACCGTTTCCGATATTCATAGCACTCACAAATTTCAAAAAGTTGTTGTAGTATTTTGGTTTTAATAACGATTGGAAGGATGTAAAACCAAAATATACGCTTGCTTTGAGTTCACTTGCTTTGTATTTGTAGTAAATCTCTATTCGTTATGAATGTCTAGATGTTATATATAGCAATCTTAAGTCATCCAATATTCGTTGTAGTTCATCTATTTGATGTCTAACTGACCACGGTTCAGCACGATATTTCGCATCTAACCCAAAAGCGAGCAATTCTTCCATAATACCTTCATATGCTGAATGTAAATCATTAAATAACCAACCTTGACATATTTTATTATTATATTTTAAATGACGAAATTCACAATCTTCTAGGAAAGAAATGTGATTCATTTACCTGATGGTAAGTTACGGCTTATTAAGTGGAGAAGAGTGATAAAATATTACTTTTTTTCAAACGAAGAAAGAGCATACAGTCTATTCTGCAAAGCGAATTTATTTAAACTAATTCGTAGTCATAATATACGCCTGCATTTTTCTTTTAATTCATAGAATAATAGTAGTAAATTTTTACAACAGCTAATCGGGCTCTATTAGTCTTTAGCCACATGTGTTTTCGTCAGTGTAAGACCAGTCCAGGCGTTCCACAACCTTTCGTTACTGAGAAATCCTGCAGTTACGAATAGCTCCATTTTGGTCACCGTTGTGGCGGCATCTCACAGACGGTGCTAGATGCAGTGAAAAATTTCGTCTTCATATTTTCAAACGATTAGCATCGCCTAAAAGTTTGGTTAAGATTGGACTTATACTTCCAGAGATAGGTTTCTGACGGGGAGGGGGGCGTAATAAAGTTTGGTAACCATGTTAGAAAAACCGTTTTCTGTTTTTCAAATACCCAAAAGGATTATGAACTCTCTTAAACTCATAAATAATCACAAGGATTCACGCAGTCCATTGACTGTAAGTCGAATGAATATAGTGATGGGAATATTATTCATTTTATTGTAACTCGATCTTGTTAATACAGAATTAAACGGTACCTTTCACCTTAGTTAACAAGTAACGCTCGCTAGCTCGCTGACTCTCTAGCGAACTCTCGGGACAACCGAGCCGGTGGCCTAGTTTCCGCCGCAGTGTTAGTCGCAAGTAACACTTGTTTACTACGTGAGAGTACACAGTGTGTAAGGATCCTCCACTCGACTCTAGAAGGTAGAGGTCTAGCCATATCTCGTTCTCAGATCCTTTCGAGTCTTCTTTCCTCACGATTTCTTTCTTTATTTTCACTTACAGTTCTTTATTTTCACACGACAGTTAGTTTTCTTTAAAAGGTTAGTCAGTACTCATTTTTCTTTAGTGAATATATACATTCATTTTCTTCGTCATAGACTGTTTCGCTTTTGTGTTTAGTTTATTTTTTATTTTTCAATTTTCCTTTACTATACACATATAGATTATATA